CTCCAACATCTATAAATATATAACATAGCCTCATTATTAAGGTATGTTTTACATAATATTCCGATATACAATTTTCACATAATTTTGTCTCTGATTTAAGCATCGGAGGGGCAACGAGGACACACCTCGACGCCTTTGTTTCAAGTATCAGAAGACCTTTTTCGTGCTTGTTCTCAGCCGTCAAGTTTGGGATCAACATGTACGATTTTTGGCATCATCAGATATTAAGCCATGTTTGGTTTAATAAAAATTAAATTTTTATTTTTATTTTTTTTAGATTTAATAAAAATTAATGAAACGTGTTGTTGAAAAGTTGTGGATCCCATAAATTATATAATTAAAATTATTTGTTAACTTTGACTTAAATTTAATTCATTTTTTAGCTGAACCTAATATGGGCTAAATATAGTGGATTCAATATATTATCGCAAAGAAAAATAAGCTTCCATTTGGATAAAATTTATAAATTCAATCATAACTAAATATTAAATTTAACCTCGTTCATAGGTATGGCAAAAAAAAATCGGACAAACCCGCTACCTGCGGAGCCCCACCCCGAACGGGGCGGGATAACCCGCTTAATCGGGTAACGGGTGCCCCACCCCGTTAAATTTTTATTTTTATTTTTTTTAAAATTTAATACTTTAAATGAAAATTTTCACTAGTTCGAATAGAAAATAACAACAATTATTTGTATAAATATAATGAATATGGATAATAAAAAAAAAATTATATAAAAAAAATTTTAACTGGAAAAGGCCCCGCCCCTCCCCACCCCACCCCACCCCATTGCCATCCCTGAGATTCATAACTATTATTCATTATTACGTATACATTTTGGATACTCGCTATTATTTCATTTATATTTATAAAATCATTTATAAATTTGTCAAATAGAGCATGTGTGGAAGTGTTTATAAACATCATATAACTGGAATAAGAGTGAAAGCCAATGAATTAAAAAAACCATAATTCTTTATCGTTCAACTTCATTTGAATTTAATTTTTTGGACCATACTACAAGTACATAATCATTTACATAATACATTACATAATTGACATGTGGCGCGCATCCATCGGTAGTCTACAATTTTTGACTTTTCCACACTGCACACCCACGGTCGAATTTCTTCCACATGGGT